CCCCAAAACCCCAAAACCCCAAAACCCCAAAACCCCTCTTCTAAGGTATAATTGAAATGTCGTCACTAAAAATCCCCAATTCCTATTCTTTCTAAATCTCCATAACCTTATCCCTCCGGCTCACCTTCCAGTACTTCCAAATCCATATAAACCCACGAACAGATTTAGCCCAAACTTGCTTTCATAGTAGAAGGAATGGAGCCAAAAGAACAAGTAGTAGAAATCGAAGAAGAAGGTATTTGAGTTTTAATAGGAAATAGGATTAGCATGAGAACAATTGTGGGAAAGGATTTTAATAGAGAGAGTGGGATGGTTAAGACCGTATTAGGAGGGCATAAGTTTTGAAGAAGATTAGTTGGCATTTATTCCATATTTCTATGGGCTTCTTCTCCTCTTGCAATGAGCGGTTGGTAGATTTCAAACGCTCCGATCAGTGCCTTCAGCGGAGCTGCTCCTGGCCTGTTGAGGTGGGTGTGCTTGTCGAAGGTTTCGTAGAAAGCAGAAAGACCCTTGGCCAGACTCTTCTTCACAATCTCTGGATGAGTTCTGTCGGACCTATACCGGTTATGCAATTCGGAGTTCGCCCAACTGAACGAGAATCTTACTTGAGGAGGCCTTCGTCGCCAGCCAGGAGTTCGAGGAGCCTGGGGACACTCTGCGTGTCGAAGTAGGGGTTTGCCATGAGCAGGTAGTAGCCATCTCTGGGAGAAATGTGGATGTCTTTGAGAGCGGCAGGCAAGTTTCTGAGGAAGATGCTCAGGTCGATTCCGCGAGAGAGGAGGGTGTTGACGAGGGTTTTGATGAGGTTGAGCAACAGAGACATGATACTGTTGAGCTTCTTTATGTCAATTTTTCCAATATTTGAATTTACTATCTCTGTAACCTTGATCTTTAAGTCATTAATCTTCATCTTAATAGTCAAGCATTCATTTATGTCCAATATAGCGATGATCTTCGCATTAACTTTAAATGTAAAAGCTTCTTCAAAGTTTTCAGATCCACGGTCTCAGCTTAAACTCATAAGAACACTTGTTGAGGTATCTATTCCCTTTGGAGTGATGGAAAGTTCTGGAAGGGGATCACTAGAGAGTCTAATATCTAATTTACAATCCTTATTTTTCCCAAATTCTTTAGAGAGACCTGGGAAGAATGAGTTTAGATAGCTTGTTGACATAATTTTAGTATCCTTTTTAGTAATAGTAAGAGGATCCATGTCGATTTGAGAAATAGTAGCAAGAGCACTTCTGATAGTGTAATCAGAGATAAACACTTGGAAGTCCTTTCCATCTGGAACCCACTGTGGCAGAAGGGCTGTATTAACAAATGGATGGTCTTTCTCAGCAAGAGAAATTTTCCCAACAGAGGAGATGGTTAAGTAAGTATCATTAGTCACAACCGGCCATTCTTTGAATGAAAGGTCCACTGAGATATCCTTAATTACTAGTGGCCATTTAACGAGTCCTGTGACTAAATCAACTAAGTTCTGGAGATATTCACTCAGAGCAGTTCCGACCAAATTTGCTATTGGGGGGAGAATAGCATTGACCACTGAGACAACAAGTTTATTAAAATCATTCTCATTGGTAAGATCTATCCTGACACTCTTGGGATCGATAGAGAGAGAGCTTTGGGATACCTCAATGGCAAACTGACTAGGATCATCTTTGCTAGCTCCCATTCCAAAGGTGATGTCAAGGTTGAGTTTCTCATATCCAACATCGACTTTTCCAATATCATCGATCAATAGTGGGTCTGTGAATACGTCATAATCCAGAGTCAGATTTACTTTACTGTCCACGATATGGAACCCAACTGAGTTATTTTCATGGTACAGATTAGCTTTGGTCAAGTCTGGGTCATAGTTGATGGTATTTATGATCAGAGATGGCTTACTGATGAACAAAGTAATCATGTCCAAATCGAGTTCATAAACCTTAGTAGTATTGAACTCATCTCCAATCAACTTAAGAACATTTGGGAGCAGATCAGTCAGCAATTTATTAAAGAAGTTTTCGTTGATAGCAAAGCTCACTCCTGCATTTATCATGCCAGGTTCATCTGAAAAATTGGCATTGTTTTCTCAGGTATTGGGAGCATCTGATTCTAGTTCCACAGCTAAAGAAGTGGCTAGTAAGAGCGACAAAAGTAAAACCTTAAACATCATTGGTCCTTTACTTTAATATTATAACTTAAATAGGGGTTTTGGGGTTTTGGGGTTTTGGGGTTTTGGGGTTTTGGGGTTTTGGGG